AGGATTGCCCAACCTTCCTTCCGAGGAGTGGCTGGTGGGTTTGAACCGCCAGCCGTCTGGTTAGCAGGCAAGTGTCTTAGCCACTATGCTACTTAGATGGGTCCAAAGTGAGGTGAATAGGTGGGACTTCTTTGCATAGTCACCTCTATCTGCTCTGATGTTGCTATTCTGTTAGAAGAGCCTCACTGGCCAATTCTCTGTCCTGAGTCTTTCACTGCAACAAAATAGACATGAATCCTTCAATGATCACTTTAGTTTGCCTAATGCCTCCAAAGGTTGGCCTATAGATCTCCATCTCTCTCTCTCTTTGTCTCCCTTCTCCAATCCCCTTCTATTCTCTTCTTCCTCTCCCCATTTCTCCTCTTCTCTCTCCCCCTGTCCCTCTCTCAAGTGTCTGACCATTTTGCCCTAAACATTATAATACATTCAAACCAGAAGAAATATGGGAAGAGGCTTTCAGGACAACTAATTTTATTCTGCATAATCTCATTTAAGCCTCAAACCTATGTTGTTAGGCAGCAAAATCATTGAGGTTGTGGATACTTTTTATATGCCCACTTTACAGATGAGGAAACTGAGGATCTGCAGAGTTAAATGTTAAAGCTGGGATTTGATTCTCTTTCTGCTTGATGCCAGAGCTTGATTGCTTACTCTATTGTGCTGTTGAAATGCAGGGGCTGAGCATGAAGTTCTAACTTGGTGGACCTTTCTTTTGGGCTCTGAGATGATGTGGTGTAGGAATGAATGAGTGTGGAAATGTAAGAATGACTCAGCCCAGAAGAGAGCTTGGGAAATGTGGTTGAGCTCTGCTCCAGGATCACCTGTGGGTTATTATCTCCAGACGGTTGAAGAAGAAGCTTTGATAAAGAATAACAACACCTGTAAGGACTTCCTCATCGAGGCCATGAAATACCATCTGCTCCCTCTGGATCAGAGGCTTTTGATTAAGAACCCAAGGACCAAGCCCAGGACCCCAGTCAGCCTGCCCAAGGTAAGCTACAGCCCAGTCACTGCCAAGAGTCAGGACTCTGTCCTGGGAGAGTGGATGGCTGCCCTGCATCATGGTTATATTTAGGACCTAGGAGATGAAGTCTTCTGGTTTGTCTTGAATCTGCTGGTACCTCTTTCTTCTGGGGTCTTCATTTCCTACGATTTTCAAGGTAACTTCCAGTGTCATCAAGGAGGTTTGACAGTAACTAAGAGTTCTTCCTGCTCCCCTCCTTCTTGTTCACGCCATGATTTGAGCTCTATATTGGAAGCTGAAAATGGCTGTATTGATTTAACTTAGTGGTAGCCACATCAATTCGTCTTCTAGTCCATACTTTGAGTTAGTCTGGTTCCTTCCCTTACTATAGAGCCATAAAGGACAATTAGGGCTGCCAGAGGAGAAAAGCAGCCTTGAGGAGTGATAGGTAATGAAGGAGGGAAAGGAAATGGGGGAAATGAGAACTTGTGAAGGAGCAGCTAGGGGGAGAGGGGTGCGATAGGAGAGGGCTCTGTGATCAAGTTTACATTGGGTCTTGACTGCCTCCATTCCTTGCAAGTCTCCTCCCCTCTCTGGTCCTCAGGTTCCTTATCTGCAGAATGAATGAATGGAACTGCACTAGATGATCTTCAAAGTCTTTTCCAACTTGGCATTTGAGTAGTCTTTCTAGGATCCTTATGTACTGGTGTGTGGGGGAAGGTCCCAGCCAACCCAGCAGGAAAGGTGGGAGGAGAGGAATGAATCACGTTGGGTCAGTGACTACACGGTAGGCAGCATCAGGGAATTATTTAGGCACTTGCTTTGTCCTCCTCCTCTTTCCAGCTGGCTGCCACACTCCTTGACTGATGCTCCCAGGAAGGGTTTCACAGGGGTAGAGAAGCATGTGGTTGTCTCAGACCAACTATTGGGATTCTCTGAAACATGCACTCTGCTGCATGACCCTGGATCATTGGGATCACATTGAGCGGTTGCAGTGTGAATAGATATTACAAGTTTCCCAGATAATACAGGCAGCTGACATTTATTGAGTGCTTATCATGTGCCAAGCACTGTGTGGATGATATCACATACATATCTTATTTAATCTTCTCAACAGCCCTACCAGATTGAGATAGTTATTATTCCAGTTCTACATAAAAGAATATGGAAGTTCAGAGAGGTTAAGTAACTCGTCCAAGGTTAACACCGCTATTGTGGTAGAACCAGGATTTGAACTGGGACTTGAAAGCCCTCTAAACCTGCTCTTGGAACCCATACCATTCTGTGCTTGGCTATGCCTTTGTAAACCTGAGAGTGTATACTTGTCTGCCTTGTGTTGCCTAATGTTGATTACAAGGTACAGCTGCATTAAGGAAGCGCCTTGGTCAGGCTGGCCATTTGCCTTACTGCATGCTGATGCTTTTTGTTTTGTTTTGTTGAAATATTGCACTGAAATTTATATATTTCAAATTGAAGATAGCTTTATTTAGTCACAGAAATATATACTCACTGTAGATTATTAAAAAGGATACTGCAATTTTGAAATAAAGTAAAATCGACCTGAAATCCCTCCATCCAGGGGCAATCACTGCTACCATTTTGGTCATTTTTTTTTCCTCTAGACATATCTGTGTGCATTTATTTACAAATAGACAAAAATATCTTTTTAGATAAATGGGATTTTGGTATACAGATTGAAATATTTTTTTTCCCCTATTCAACCATGTAGGAGCTCTGGTAGCATAGTGGCTAAGGCACTTGACTGCTAACCAGAAGGCTGGCGGTTCAAACCCACCAGCCACTCCTCGGAAGGAGAAGGTTGGGCAATCCTACTTCCGTAGTGATACTGCCTCGGAAACCCAAGGAGGGGTCGCTATGAGTCAGGGCTGACTCGACGGCACATAACAACAACAACAACATTCAACCATGTGCTATAGACAAATTTCTACATTATCAGAATAGACAGAAATTGGTATTTAAATTGTGATGGGTGTGTAGTATTCAATTGCATGTATGTACCATCACTTATTTAACAATCCTCTGTTGATGGGCTTTGCAATTTTGAGGTTTTTGATACTATACACACTCGTGTGCAAAATATCCCTGTATACACATCTTTGTATATTTATGTAATTAATTCCTTAGGTAAATTCTTAGAAGTGGAAAAGGTATATACAGTTATCATTTTTAGAGAATTCTGTAGGGGTTCTGGTGGCATAGTGCCTAAGGCATTTGACTGCTAACCAGAAGGCTGGTGGTTTAAACCCACCAAGCACTTCTTGGAAGGAAAATTGGGCGATCTATTTCTGTAGCAATACCGCCTCGGAAAACCAAGGAGGGATCGCTATGAGTCAGATCTGACTCGATGGCAGTGAGGTTTTTTTTTTTTGGTATATCTGCTTCCAAGAAGAATGAACCTTTTCACAGTCCTTTTACTAAGGTGTGCCTGACCCAAGCCATGATATTTTCAATTACCTTATATACATGTGAAAGCTGAAGGATGAATAAGGAGGACCAGAGAGGAATTGATGCATTTGAATTATGGTGTTGGCAAAGAATATGAAATATACCATCATCTGCCAAAAGAGTGGCAGAAAACAAATCTATGTGGGAAGAAGTACAGCCAGAATGCTAAAGCAAGGATGGTATGACTTTCATGTGCTTTGGACACATTACATAAGGATGGATCAGTCCCTGGAAAAGGAAATCATACTTGGTAAAGTAGAAGGCAGCAAAAATGAGGAAGACCCTCAACAAGATGGATTGACACAGTGCTTACAACAGTGGGCTCAAATACAGCAGTGATTGTGAGGATGGTGCAGGACCAGGCAATGTTTCGTTCTGTTGAACATAGGGTCACACTGAGTCTAAACTGACTTGACCACACTTAACACATAACAACAACTATCAGTAGAGGAAGGCACTTGCTTTCTTCACGCTTTTGCCAACTGTAGGTGTGAAACTTATAAATAGTTGCTAATTTGGTAAGTTAAAAATGACATCTTGCTTTATTTTGCATTTCTTTATTTATAAGTGAGATTGGTTTCATATGATTACTGGCAATTACGTTTCATTTTTGGAGAATTATCTCTTTATATCCTTTGTCCATTTTTCTATTGGACTGTACCTTTTTTTTTTTAATTAAGGGCTTTTAAAGGATTCTTTGTATGTTAAAGAAGTTAGGCCTTTATTTTATGTATTTTAATATTTTTTTTACTTAGTTTGTAGTTTGCCTTTTAACTTGTTTATAACAATTTTTTTAAATTATGAAAATTTTTTTTTAATAGTCAAATTGATACAGCTTTTGCTTTATAGCTTGGGTACTGCATCATGCTTAGAAAGGTTTTCCCTACTCTGAGATTATTTAAAAAAAATTCTCCCATGTTTTATTCAAGTACTTTTATCTTTTATAATTTCTATGCTTTACACTTGAATCTTTGATCCTGTTAGACTTTATCTTGTTATAAGATGTGAAGGTAGGCATTCAGCTTTATTTGTACTGAAATGATGAGCCAGTTATCTCAAAACTATTTTATTGAGTAATCAATCCTTTCCTCTCCCATGATTTGAATAACACCTTGATTATGATCAAGGAGCTCTGGTGCTGCTGTGGTTAAGCATTTGATTGCTAACCAAAAGGTCAGTGGTTCGAATCCACCAGCCAATTTATAGGAAAAAGATAAAGCTGTCTGCTTCTATAAAGATTTACAGCCCTGGAAACCCTGTGGGGTAATTCTAATCTGTCCTGTAAGGTTGCTATGAATTGGAGTCAACGTGATGGCAGTGGGGTGGGTTCTGCATGTCCACAAGGCTTGTGCCTTGAGAATGTGATTCTCAGATGCACTGTTGTTTCATGTGGAGGAGCCTTTATATCCCTGGGTTTTCAGCAGGTCTTCTCACTTGCCTTGTGACTCTGACAGTTATGAGCCACATTCCTCTTTTCCCTTAGAAAACTATGATTCTAATTTGACATGATGTCAGATTAATGACGTCTTTGCCTCATGAATGTATTGTGGACTATGGAAGTGGTTGAGAACTGGCCTAGATTCTTTACATGGAGACTGTACCCAATGACCCCTTTTTTGGCGATTCCAGATCTAGCTCTTGCCACATTTATCCACAAAAAGACAGTTTTAAAAATCAAAACGAAAAGCCTGAGCCTGGACTAAGCAAGCTGAGAATCATTCTCAACTATCTGGGTATTGAATCTATAATTGAGAAGAAGTCCATCCCTTATTTCAGGAGACCAAGGTCACTGTCACTGCTCTCCTTAGGACACTTGTTTTCAGCATGAAAAGTGTTTACACTCCTGGGCATCTAGCCTCTTGCAGGCAATTGGAGCCATGACTTCCTTTGAGTCTGTTGAAGGAAGGGAAAAAAGTCATCTCTGTTGCTTTTCTCATTGTTTTCTTATTTTTATTCCTTGAATAATTTAAGTTGTATTGTACAAACTGCTTCTCAAACTATACCTTTGTTACCATTGTTTGGGCACTTAAATTGATGAGCAGTCCTTACCAGGGGTTTGAGAAATTGGGCTATGCTAAGGGAGATGATCACCTGAAAGTATCATTAAGTTGATTCCACTCATAGCGACCCTTCCTTGGGTTTCTGAGGCAGTATCTCTACAGAAGTAGATTGCCCAGTCTTCCTTCCAATGAGTGGCTAGTGGGTTTGAACCACCAGCCTTCTGGTTAGCAGCCTTAGGCACTATGCCACCAGAGCTCCCAAAGGAAGTGACCACTCGAAAGTATTAAATTTTCACAGTAATAGCTAGTTATTATTTGTATCCCATCTCAGGGGCTCAGAGAAGTTAAATAACTTGCCCAGTTACTCAGCCAATAAGTGCATGGCTGGAGTTTGAACTGAGGTCTGTCCTACTCTAAAATCTGTGCTTAATCTTTTACATTAAATTTCCTCCCAGGGAACAGGTTTTGGTGGCAGATGAGATTTAAATTCAGGTTTATTGAGGTATATAAATTTATTCACAGTAAAACTCACCCTTTCTAGAGATATAATTTGATGAGTTT